ATAGGATATAGTGAGGGTTTGACTACTGTCGGGTAGTCTTTCCCCTCAGAATCGGTAGCCGCTGCTTCTCGCTGGCTCCCTCTCTGGGAAGTGGTCAAACTGGGCTCAGTTGTGCACTTTGGTGCTGGGAACCTTGGCCGGGCTCCAATAATAAAGCCACAAGTTGTGTCGGCTGTTGCTCTGGGCTGCCCCACTGGCTGACCACCATGGGGTGCCCTGGGCTGGTCTTGCATCCATTGTTCTTGCTAACAACTCCCCACTGGCTGACCACCGTGGGGCGCGTGCTGGCCTTGCTTTCCCTCTGGGATATTGAGCCATCTTGTACCTTCCCTTTTTGCTACTGTGCGCCTGGTACCTCACCGTGTCGGTCGGTAATTCTGCTGTCCCTCTTCGATTTACAGCTTACCGGCTGACCTTCTTTGCACCAGTGGCTACATGATGGTGGTTTTGATGATCTGGCATACCCTCGCATTTTGCGACCCCCCCGTATGCTCTGCGCTGCTCGATTACACCTGGACTTCTTCGACGACTTCGAGTACTGAGCGCGGGGGACACGTAGATGTTTGGTGCTCTGTTCTTGCGGGTTGCTGCTGGTTGGTGGTTGTGTTTTGTGGTTGTTTTGGTGTGTGTTTGCTTTGGTTTTCGCACCGGCTCCGTTTCACCTCTCGTGTTGAGATCCCTAAGAACGGCCTACTGCGCTGCTGATGTAGTAAAGAGGCATCGGTCCAAAAAAAAAAGTATAGTAGATGCTGTGCTCTGCGAGGTTTGAACAAACAAACAGCTAGCCCGGTTGCATTACTTTTCCACCTCATCACGATCTCACAATCTGTACAGGAATAGTGCGTAGATGTGTCACCTCAATCAGGATTGCCGGGATCGCAGATCCCGCCTATCGAATAGGCCGGTACATACCGTGATCTTGATAGCTCGCTAGGTAAGGACAACTTTGCTGCGTCTCGAAAGTCGAAAAGTCTGATGGTCAAGGCACGTCCGAAGGGCGGAGCTGGCCACGGCACGGCACGTCTCACGGGTGGGGCAAGCCAAGGCATGGCGCCTCCCGAAGTTTCAGAATCGCCCGCTATGAGCAGAGCCCGCTCGCTCAGCGTTCATAAATAGTAGCAGTAGCAGTAGCAGTAGCAGTAGCAGTAGCAGTAGCAGTAGCAGTAGCAGTAGCAGTAGCAGTAGCAGTAGAGCAGTAGCAGTAGTAGTAGTAGTAGTAGTAGTAGTAGTAGTAGTAGTAGTAGTAGTAGTAGTAGTAGTAGTAGTAGTAGTAGTAGTAGTAGTAGTAGTAGTAGTAGTAGTAGTAGTAGTAAGTAGTAGTAAGTAGTAGTAGTAGTAGTAGTAGTAGTAAGTAGTAGTAGTAGTAGTAGTAGTAGTAGTAGTAGTAGTAGTAGTAGTAGTAGTAGTAGTAGTAGTAGTAGTAGTAGTAGTAGTAGTAGTAGAGTAGCTGTAGTAGTAGTAGTAGTAGTAGTAGTAGTAGTAGTAGTAGTAGTAGTAGTAGTAGTATTAGTAGTAGTAGTAGTAGTAGTAGTAGTAGTAGTAGTAGTAGTAGTAGTAGTAGTAGTAGTAGTAGTAGTAGTAGTAGTAGTAGTAGTAGTAGTAGTAGTAGTAGTAGTAGTAGTAGTAGTAGTAGTAGTAGTAGTAGAGTAGTAGTAGTAGTAGTAGTAGTAGTAGTAGTAGTAGTAGTAGTAGTAGTAGTAGTAGTAGTAGTAGTAGTAGTCGTAGTAGTAGTCGTAGTAGTCGTCGTCTTAGTAGTAGTAGTAGTCGTCGTCGTCGTCGTGGTAGTAGTAGTAGTAGTCGTCGTCGTCGTAGTAGTAGTCGTCGTCGTCGTCGTAGTAGTAGTAGTAGTAGTAGTCGTAGTAGTAGCAGTAGCAGTAGCAGTAGCAGTAGCAGTAGCAGTAGCAGTAGCAGTAGCAGTAGTAGTTGCTTATATTGTTGAGATATTTTTTGAGTGCAAAACTGTTTTTGACTTGGTTTGCTTCTTTTTTTCCCTGACCTCTTTTCTGGCTCTTTGTTTGTCTCTGATTTTGCTTTTGTATGTTTTCTGAATATTTGTTGTTCTTTCGTGTTGTGAATCGTTTGACCCTTGCGGCTTCTATATATTTGTGAATCGTTTGACGCTTGACGCTGGCCGCTTCTAGAGACCGGAGGTTTTGGTTTACTTTGTTATACTGCAGCTGAGACGTCGAGTTTCATGGATTTTGCAACTGATGGATTCTGCAACTGTAAGGTCTCTGTTCTGCTTCTTGCACAATTTTTCTCGGAGGTTACAGACATAGCGGGAGAGTGCTTCGCACCCCCATTTTGCTGTTAGGCAAAAAATCCAAGTAAAGGTGCCTGTCCGCATTGCTGCGGGGTACTGAGGTCTGCCGAGTGTAAAATTTAATGTTTCACATGTTGTTCCTCGTGTGTTGTTCAGCTAGGCTACTCGTATTAAGTTTTGCTTCCAGTGTCTGCGCTTCTTTGCCTTCGGGTGGTCGTGTTGTGCTCTCATGTTAGATGCCGTTGGTAACATTCCGATGTATGTGCGTACGGTAGTTAGCTGAACCACAGAGCTGATTGCGTGTGGACTGGAATGGAACATCAAAGGTGCGACCTCCCCAGAGGCTTATTCCTCAGCGAAGGCTGAGAGTACACGAAAGCGTGCTGAGAAGGTGGGATACCCACCGTTTTGAGAATGATCCCCAACATGTTTTGCAAAGTCTTTAGCAGGTCGATACGCACGTGGTCGTGAAACATGCTGTTAAGCCAGTGTCAAAATACAGGCCGAAAGTTGGGCCGATTCCAAGCAAATGTTCGTGATTACGCACAATGCAGGCTTTAGGAAACTGTGGAGTTACCAAGGATTGAATGCGTCCGTCAGAGGTGACAAGTCGATGGATCAAGCGAGACATTGAAACATCCTGGAAAACCCCTCACGCTCCCGGACAGACCCCTCACGCTCAGAATGGTTCCAAGCATGAAACAACGAAAGGAAAATCGTCCGCAGGCCGGCTGCAACCATAGCCTCAGATGTTGCACCGTTGGCATGACCTCGCAAGCCCTGGTTAATAAAGAGCGTGGTGTGCCCACATGGCTTAACGGTGTTTTGGTGGAACTCAGTGCCTGCGTTTGCAACTCGTGGTCAACCTTGATGGTTATACAAGCACCGTACGATTTTTTGGATGCATACAGGGTTGGGTCAGAAGTTGCGATGTTGCGCTATGCGTTCCATTTCGAGAAAATTTTCATTTGATGCTCGCACATGAAAGAAGACATCGACAGTTCGAGTAGTCGGTTGACAAACTCGCAATCTTCCGAAGGTGGAGTCCTTCGGGCCGTCGGGAGATGCTCGATGAAGATTTCATTTTGCAGCCTCACTTGCATTCCGCCAGGCAAGCAAAACCAATCCTCTACGCCAAATTGGTTTGCCATCTTGGCGTGAGGTTGCAGTTTCCTCGAAAGTTCAGCCCCGGCTAAGTCAGGTTTGGACAGAGCTGTGCAAGCGGCATGTTGTGTGCCTTTCAGGTGTGAATGCAAAAGTCAGTTGCCGGATGGCCATGTGGTGTCATGGTGAGCGTTCTGAAACCTGTGGTCGGAAACGATGCGAGTCTTATTTCCCCGTTGCATGTGGAAATCACGAGGACGTACTACTACACGCCGTGCAAGCCAAATTGAGGAATTATTTCTCCTGCCTGAAACCGATCCTGCCTGCAGAAGATTTCTGTCGGCATGTGAGCTCTTGCCTTGTGTAGCGACACGGCTCCTGGATCTTCTGGTTTCTTTATTCGTTGCGCTGGTCTATTGCACAAGGAGCAAACACCAAGCACACACTTTGTCCGCTCCAGAATTCCACCAATTGCACTGACTGAGTTTTCCTATCTGGCATACGATAGACCGGTGTCACTAAACCATGTCCGCAGTCAAGTGGGAGCTGGCTATCTTAAGCAAACCGGCCATGTGAATTCTCTTCGAGCTATTTCGCTTGCAACCACACCGCCCGCCGAAGTTTCAGCCCAAAGGGGTACGGACGACATCTTCTGTGCAGATTCAGGCTGCGTGTAGTTGCGGTCTGTTCTGTAGAGCTGGGTATGCATCCAGCACCCAGCCATGTTGTATCGCATCTTCTCGGAAGGGCGCGGGTGCGCGATCGTATGTTGTCGCATCTCATACCAGTTTCTGCAAACCGATGTTGAATTCCCCATCTGCTGGTCTGTGTGTCGTTCCTGGATCCTCCAATGTCACACATGTGCGGCCCTGCAGCGGCTGTCTTCGATTACGAGCTCATTCGCCCTGATATCCGCTTGTTTCCAATGTTCTTCGCAGAAATCCATGTGCTTGCTTGCCCCCACAGCCGTGTTGTTTTGCGGTCATTCCCCGCATTCGGAAATTATCCTGTCTTCGTCGCGAAGCATCTTTGCATCCTGCGGGCACGAGATAAAGAAGACATTGATGAGGCATTGAGATCGAGACAAGAAGGTGCATGCCGAAGGTTTTAAAAAGAATGTGGCCCAGGAAGTGGCAGAACGTTGGAATGCAAGGGCATCGACCTGCTTGCAATCGTGGCTGTGTAACACAAATTTCTCTACGTACAAAAGCAAGCAGCATTGTCGGTGCTGAGCATCGAATCGTGCATCCCCAGAAAGCAGAATTCGCATGAATTTGCAAAGTTGGAGTTGGGATGTTCATGTTCCTCTGGCAATGCATGTTGGTTCGCGAAATGCCAGTTAACATTGCCATGGCTGCAAACATGAATGGGGAGGCGCGCGTTGGATCTCAAGTAACTACAGATTTTTTCATGTGTCGGGCGCAGGCGGCAATGGTTCGGAGGTTTGCGTGGCCCAGACTGGGCCTTGCCACGTTCCCGGGCAATATGTCTTGTGCAACACATGCAGGCTGTGTGAAATCTGCAGCATGCTGCAGGCACTAACCTTGCTGCTGACGCTTCAGTCTTTGCTGACCGTTCCTCGGGACAGGCAGGGAATGCTCTGTCGCCCCCAGCTGAACAAACTGTTGTTGTGATGCTCGCAGTGTCTGCAAGACAACGCCTGGAACTTTTCCTGTTCAGGTCATTGGTTAGTTTCCCGGAAACCGTCAAAAAGGCCAGGCAAGCTAGGCAGTTTGTAGGCTCACGCGGATGTGCAGATGCCGCGTTGACGTCTGCAGGTTTCGGCTTCGGCAGTGCATGCCGTCCTGCCTGAAGCCGAGCTCCTAGGGCGTGGACCTTGGCTGGTGGTGCTCAAATGTTGTTGGCAAATGACAGCAGTTCCATGCAAGGTTCCAGGAAGTGCGGGTTCATTCAGGGCTGTCTTGATCATCTCGAAAAGTTTCCTGCGTCTTCATTACATGTCGCGAGCCGCAGATGCCGTACACACGGCCAAGATGTTCGTTCAGCTGGTCTTATGTTGACCACAAAGATGTAAGGAACAAAACCGGCTTCATCGCAATGAAGCCGACATTCCTTGACACTCCCCACATCGGTTTTCACAGGAAGCCGCATTTGATCGGCTTCTACGCAGAGCAGTCCATGGAGGATCAGTGCTTTTCATGTGCAGCTGGTTTTGAACACGTCAGTGTCTTCATCCGCACCTGCTTCCGGCTGGCAGGCCAAACGCATGCGTTTCTTGGGTGATTTGCTGGAGAAGGATGACGGCTCAGTTGCAAAAGGTGCATGTGCAATCCTGAAGACTTGCAGCCGTATGCTGCAGGAGCTTCCAGGCACAAAGATCGTTTGGCTGGAGGCATACTTTCGCCGCATCAGCGTACGTATCTATCTGGAAAGAGTTCTTGTAGGCAATTACGATACAAAACTTTGTATCCCGCAAATGTGGTCACTAGGGCCACGATTGGAGTATATTTCGGCCCGACCAGTAAAAGCATTGAGCGGGCTTCTGACATCAGGGTGTAGAGAGGTCCATCGTGCGATGAGTCCTTTCCAAGCAGTTGCTTGTATTTGCTTGTGTGTTCAATGCCAGGCATGGGACAATCCACTGAATGAAAGACTTCGGGCAACAATCGACCTGAGGACTTTAGCTGCAGGAACATCAGGCTTTTTTAGATGTTCTGAAAATCGGCTGTGGTTCGGGCACCCTTGCGCAAGCAGGAACCAGTGTGGTGGGGTGCCGTATCTTTTCAACCGCAAGACCGGCAAGGCAGGGAGGGACTCCCCAGAGAGATCGCAAGCGGGGTTTGTCTTTTCTTTTGTTCGTTTCCGGTTCGCTGTTTGGACTTCGGCATCTCGCAGGGAAGGTCGCCACCCCCGCTCTTCTACTGGCAGGTATTGTGTGGAGTTGTAGCTTACGACAAGCTGAGAGCGTGGGCCCAGGCCGGCTGTGATGGCTGAGCAAGTTTTTGAGTGTCAGTGCAGAAGTACGGGTGCTCTTCTGCTTGAAGTTGCCTCACTCACTGTCAAACGTCTTACCGGAAGTATGGCTTTGCAGGGACTTGGCGGCGATGCCAGGATCTACCGTGATCTTGGCGAGTAAGGGTTTGGCTCAGACGCTGGCCTTTGTAGAGACACGTAGTGCTTCATGGTTCAGCATCGGCCTTCGCCTTTCAAGCGAAATCTCTGGTAGCCGTTTCACCGTCCTGGCGTGCAAGAATGAGCTACAACTTAGCAGCTCATGTTTTGCAGCATGCCATGGAAGCAGGGTGCCCTGCAGAGGGTCAGCAAGAACTGATACTGAAGTGGGAGCCAGGTGCAGTGTGTTATAGTTGGCTTACCATTCTGCGCCCCAGCGCTTTAACATGTTGCGACAAAGCAGATCAAAATGGTGTCCTCATGCGTCCTCCTCTCTAAGGGTACTTTCATAGTCCCTGGATATGGTCTCTTACCTTCTTTAGAGCGTTCTGGAGTATGGCTGCTTGGGTTTCATAGGGCATACAAGCGGCATAAGGGGTCCGCTTTTCGGGGTCCATATGAAGGGACCATGGTAGCTGTCGGTCCTCAGGTCTTCTGGCACTGATTGGACACATGTCAGGAGTCGCCTACGTTCGACACCACCCTTGAAAGAATGTTGCCCGTGGGACAGCTGTGTGGATCTACTTAGCTCAATGCAGAGGGGGCACGGCCACGCTGCTTCGACAAAAATCTTCAGCAGTAAGCTTGACGATTTGTAGCGGTGCATCACGCGTTAGCGCATTGGAGACACTACACTTGTGCGTCCGATCTGGCAGCCATGGGTGGTGCTGCATCCTAAGATTTTTGGGGTGTCTGTGTGTCTGTGTGCGTGTGTGTGTGTGTGCGGAGAGATTTGGAGAGAAGTTGTGGAGGCTGCCGAGCTGTGTAGCTGTAGTGCAGCTGTGGCTTTTACGTGCAGGCATTCCAGACACTTGTCGTGCCGGCCATACTGGAGGTCAGCATTGCATTGCGATGTGCATAGTCCGTGTGCACATGTAAAGCAGTCCGTGAAAAGCTACTGCATGCATAATCGCACAATGCAAAGCCTCTTCTTCGCCCAGCTCTGTTGTAGCTTTGCAGTTCCTCAGGCAGTTATAGGCATGTTCTTGGTCATCCAAGCCAAGAAGCTGAACTTGAAGCAAGACAAGGCAGCTGCTATCGTGAGAAGTGGTGCTGCTGCAGATGCTCTCACACTCCGAGCAGAAATAGCAGCAAAGCAAGGAAGGCACTGGTGTGACCATTGTGGGCATGGCTGGAATCATCTTTGCCCAGGCCACGTCAAATGCCTGAGGGTTTGTTGTTGGAGTTGGTGGCCTTGGCTCTCGTGAACTCTTCACCACTTGTCTGGTCGAGACCCTCATCGTTTTCGCCGCGAATCCGAAGCGCATTCCGAAGGTGCGAACGGGTCTGCGGCCCTGCACCACACATGCAATGCTTTGCAGGAGGCCTTGATCCTCCTCAAGGCATCAGAAGCCCGAGAAAGAAGGCTCGCGCGCCAATCTTTCTTGCGTTTGCGGCGTTGCAGGCGGTGCTCTGCATCTTCTCCCTCTATGTGATCGTCTCCACAGCTGAGAAGAAGAAGATGTCATGGGCATTCTGGCGGTAGCCCAAGTTCGCTGTATGATTGTATGACTGTATGATGTATGCGGTCATGAATCGTCATGCTATCATTTGTCAGGTTTATGTTCTTGCTCTACACCATTTCTGCGCTTCCTGCCTTCCAGTGGTCTCCGATGGCTTCCAAGTTCTTGGTTGCAGCGTTACTCTGTGATGCGTTGCAGCATTGCAGCTGAGGGTGCCGGTCTGCATAACCATCTACAACGTCGCACGGCATGGAAAGACCGCCGATCGAAGTAGGCTCGCCTGGTCTGCTGTTGCTTTCTGTCCTGAACTTTGGCTCTGCCCCTACTTGTTTTTACATCCCATTCGGATAGATACTTAACTGCTCGTTTCCGACTACACCTGCAACATCATCTAGCAACTAAAGCTCGAGCACTGCATATCCCATGACCCTGTGGGCGTTCACTGCCTCGGCGGATTCATCACATGAACTCTGACAGTAATGGACATGGTTTCCCATGTTACGGTAGTGTTTCAGGACTGGAAATTCCAGGGGTCCCCCCGCTCCCTTTCGCAAAAGAGAAGAACGGCCCCCGTTCCCCCAGCCACAGCGAACATGAAGAATAGTCGTGCCCCCCCCCCCCCCCCACCCCAACAAGAACCTGAGGCCACGAAGTACAAGGGGATGCTACAAACCAAGTTCGTCACGAGAGTTGCCCTCGTGACGCCCGCAAAACAGCCTTACAATACAGCCAACAAAGCGGACAAACATGGCAAACATAGCTTAAGAAAAGCACAAGTAATTGTAAACGCTTGCGCGCGCTGCCTCGGCAGCCGGGCCGGCCCAGAGCATGCAGCATGTGGTTGGGGGGAGGTGGGGGGTGGGGCGGGGGGTGAGGGGGGGGAGGGGAATTTAAACAAAAGACAAGGGACAATCGAACAAAGGAGCAAACGAGCAGACGAAGAAACAACACACAAAGAAACAACCACGTCAACAAAAAAGCGCCCGATTGCACCCGCCTTATACTTCATGGACGTTGTGGAGGAGTCAAAGGAGGAAGAGTGGCTTTCCGGGTCGCGATCTTACGTATGTGAGGCGTGACGAATTTTCGACCTGCCTCAGTATACGAAGTCATGAAAACACGAACAAAGGAAGACGAGCCACAGAAACGAAGGAAGCGAAGAAACAAACGCACAAAAACGTGCAAACGAGCAAACCAACAAATTAACGAACCAAGATATTGACTTTGGATGCTTGGCATAGTCTGTGCTGCAGTGAGCCGGCAATGCATGTTCGACTGAGCAGGTGATTAGTCCTCTAACCTGCCGTCATGTAACTCTCAAGCTTTTCTCGGCCAGGCGGTTGGCACTATCTACGTCCATCGCTTTTCAGTGATCTTCTCGGCTCTTCCTCAAGTAGATGTTCGTCTACATGCTCAACTAGCCTTGGCAAGTTCTTAGGTAGGTTCTGAAATCCCCCGTGTCAGCGCCACTGGCACGTGTAGCACAATTACGTGGCAATAATAAGTACAAGGTAGGCGAAATTGCATCCGCTGCGACCCAAGTTCCCAGTTGGACCCAAAGAAGGTCTACGAGCTCAACACACAAGTATTTCCACTACGGCAATTCTGTTTCAACACAGGCACACCAAGACGTGAGCAAGCATGAGTTGGCATGATGTCTGCTGGCTCACAAGAGGAGCAAAGAACAAACGAATCAAGCAGACGAACAAACGAACACACGAAACGTTCCCCCCCCAATGCCGCAACAAAAAACGGTAGTGGTGACCCTTTTCCTGGCACAACAGACAACTTCGTGTGCCGCGTTTCGTGCCTTCGCCTTGCGTGCAGTCCAAGCTGTTCAAGCGTTGGCCGATGTATGAGCCATTATGAGCCCAACAGCGTGAGAAGCCTTTATGCTTAAAGCCCCCACGTCCTTGCAGACCGTCCTTACACTACTCAACACGATGGTTTCCGTGGACTTTCTCGTGGCTGTCGGTTGTTGCAATGTCCGCGTGTGTGCCAGGCTCCAGGAGCTTTCCCATAGTGAACGTGCCGGGATGACTGGCCGGTGGGGTTAGCATGATTAGCCTTGGGCAGCTGCTCACTGCTGCCATTTCCAGATGTTCGCGATTGAACAGCGTGGAAGAGGTTGGAAGAGGCTCCAAGTTCACGCCCGAACGGAGGCGTGCGAAAAAGGGGCATCGTAGCCGGGGCTTCTGGCCAAAGACAGCCACCAACTTCGACGACTTGGTGCTCCAGCTTTAAAGATGCCATTCGTGCTTTCGTCGTGGCAGCCGCACTTAGAGCTTTTTCCGCGTCCAGTTCGAACATTGCTTGCTCTGCCGCAGCTTCGTGGGAGCTTAGACGAGCTTGTTGTAGTCAGCCAAGCGAGCATGCTCGGTGTGAGGCATAGGATGTTCGGATTCCAGCCCGAGGCAAGTTCAAAGTGTGGCAATAGAAATACATTCGCAAGCAGCTGCCATGGACAGCGAAGATGCTGAATGTGACGAAGACTCGCAGGCCTTGTTCATAGTCACACGTAACAGTTGGCTACGGGTGTCAGTGCATCTGCACAAACCTTCGGTCACTGTGTGCAAGCAAGCCTCGAGTGCAGGATGCATGGCGTCGGTTCGACGAAGCCGTGGAAGCACTGCGTTGTGCAAGATGTACTGGCCAGGCAAACGCCCAAGTGCCCATATCCAAGGGCAGCTGTTCAACTGAGCTAAGAGTGCTGCAGCCTTGCCTTGTGGTGCGGACGAGTGTGGAGAGGCCAAAGCGCCGGGCCCAGACCTTCTCGGCAGTTTGGAAAGCCTGGCAGCACCTTTCAGGAACGACGCTTTTTCCGATTCGTCCAATGTAGCATGCTCTAGTTCTAGAAGCAGAGAAAATCCCCGGACTTTTGTGTGCAGGGGCAGCTGCCACGTTCTCATCACGAGCACTGCTGGCACAGCCGTTCTCGAATTTGACTGCGATGTTAGCCAGTGCCTTGGCTCTATGAACGCGTCGACTCACTTGACTCGTGGTGAGATTGCTGATGTATCTCAGGAGCACGACTGAGCTGTACCATCAAGTGGCCGCAGCCAGCGATGTGCCGATTGACAAGCTTGGACAGATGCGTTTGGATTCTGGAGTATCCCATTCAGCTTCCTCAGCAGTGTGCAGATCTGATTGATCCAAGACGATCTGATTGATCCAAGACAGCACATGCGCTTTCTGTTGTTCGACATCATGAAATCCTGATGTTTGCAGGACTCATGATGCTGACAAAGGATGTAGCTCTGCCCAAGGATAGTTCCCAGGCAGGAGAATGCTGCTAGCCCGAATTCGAAGTTGTGCAGAGTGCTACTTAGTCCAACTTGCGGCTTGCAGTTGTTTTCATCAATTCTGGTCAGATTGTGTTCTAGAAAGGAAGCATACTTTGAACAAGCTCGTCATGAAGATGCAGGATCTATGCAAGATTCGCTTTCGTACCCTCATGCACTCAGGCTTTTTGTTTGTTCAGCGGAGAAGTACGGAGCAACAGGATTGCCTTGTCTTTGTTGGTTTGGTTCACATTACTGAGAGCGCATTCTTCAGATGCGCTTTCTGTTCGTCTTCCGTTGTTGTATTTCACAGCGTCATTTGTGATGTCTGCCTCTGTTCACGAAAAATAGGCAAGAGCATGCCATGAGTCGATGAATGAGCATCTCGATCAGCAAATTTTCGAGCCTTTGCCGCTGGAACATGGTCCTTAGTGACACTGCAGTAATGCTTGATGAATCAGTACAATCATTGCAAGCAATGCAGTTCTTTGTGGAGGTGCTGTCGTACGGGTTTCGGGCTGGCTCTTCTGTCCATCTGGTGATGCTGATCTCAGGCACTCTGCCTTACCACGTGCAGACACCTGACCAGCACCGCAAGTGATAAAAAACTGCGCACGAGGTAACTCCAGAGTCCCATGGTTTCGCTGAGCAGGCATTCTGCGTCCTGACCATTTTTGGGACTTTCGCGGTGCTTCCGCAGACATCTGTGATGCCTACGGTGCTCCTGTTGCACATCTCCGAGGCGGCGCGAGACAAAGCTATACAAGAGAGGATCGACCATTATCGGTTGGGTTCAGAGGAGTGCGAGGAATTCGAAAGCACAAGTCAACACGAGTCATCACAAGTCCCAAGTTGCTGTTGTTTCTGAAACTCATGTTTTCCCGAATCCAAGGACATGCAGCCAGTCAGGCGTTTCTTTTGACGGCCGAGAAGCTTACGTTGAGATCGACCCGTGGGAATGGGACGGGCCGGTCACGTTTGAGGTCCGAGTATGTTACAATTCGCACCGCGGCATAAGGATGCTGCTTTGGAGGGTGTCCTCTGCTAAAGGTGTTTTGCAAGATGGCTGAGTCTGTCAAGGTATGCCCACCAGGCAGCTGTCCTTGCACTGGGTACACAACTTGCAGACGGACGGATAAATGATCTCTTTGTCCTCATGAGCTACACGATGTTTGTAGTATCTTTCCTGCACTTACTTTGCAAGAGGCAGCTGGGTGATTTGCTTGGGTACCTTGCCGTACCTTGCTGTACATTGCCGTACCGCAGAAGGCAATATGTGAAAGGTAATGTTTTGCAATTATATGCCAACGGGGCCGCTTTTTTTCTGAGAGCCGCAGTGTAGGTCGGGGTTCGCGCGGTGGGTGGCGGGGTGGGGAACTTGGAATCCAGGCACGTGCACGTGCGTGCAGGGGCAACGTGTCGGAGTGCCGTGAGTGAGTGAGTGAGTTAGTGAGTGAGTGAGTGAGACTGAGTAGGGGCAATGTCAGCATCATCCACAACCCCTGTGATTCCGATGGGCACCAGCCGCGAACACGTGGTTGGCACGGTTGTTACGACGGTTGTTGTGAAACTTTTTGAAGTCTCTTCTAATCCAGAAAACTCACCAAAACACGTATATCGGAAGAACGAACCACCCCGACTTCGCTCACCCAGATCGGTGCCGCGGTTGCTTGAAGTTACTCGCATTTTGCTTGTAGTAACTGTTGTCTCGTGCCCAGGTGCGCGAAAGCCCCCTGAAGTTCTCCAGAGTCATCGCGGACCAGCCAATTTCACTGGGAGAGTGGTATCACATTGTCGCAACGTCTGAAGCTGGCTCCACTGCCCTGTACATCAACGGATGTGTTGTCGGCAATATCTCAGAAGGACCGCGGCTTCGGTTGAACCGTGACCTACTTGTGAACTGCTAGTGGTTCGGTAGACTCAGAGCAGAGATATGCGAGCTGCAGTTCAGTGGCAAGGTGATTCTGGAAACAAGAGAGCAGCTCTGTGGCCACAACTCATCCTGTTACGGCAGAAGCTCTCAGAACAGTTATGGCCTTGACCAGGATCGTCTGCAAAGGGACTGCTTCGCAGTGCTTTCCTGGGGCGCTCCGTCACGCCGGGAAACTTTCTGGACACGTGGCTGCAGTCTGTTCGAGTGGAATCTGGGGTTCACGATTCAACGTTTCGTGGACGTCGCTTCGATGATCGACTAGAGCGACGATCGAATGCACTCGTTTTGCTTCTCAGCGCTGCCTTTGCCAAGTCCCAAAATACGCTTCGTCACAAGCTCTGCACAGTCGAGGATGGGACGATTGCTTACGTGCGTATTTGGCACGGGAAAGCTCTTCCGCAAAGCATGGTCGAACTGCTTTATCAGGCATCGCTGCTTGAATCTTGAGCCTGGGAGCACCACATGCTACATCAGTTACTGAAAGTGTGAAGCGGATCTTGGACCGGCCAAAGCAATGCCGAAGAATGATTTGCTGGGCTATCAAGGGGGGCTTCGCACTGCCGCTTTTGCAGAGTTCACTTCCCAATACTGACAGCGCGCTTCTTTTGGCCTAAGGGGCGGGGGTGCCGGGAACAGGCCACATGTGACGCTAGGCCCCCCGGTTTTTCAAACTTGAGTTACAGTTTTTTGGGCGACTAGGGTTTGCGCGACGGAGTCTCTGCATCAAGAGTTGTCGGCCTCAAGGTGCATGCCTTCCCGTGTTGTTCTCTTAACTTAAAAAGCTAGACGAGCCCTCATTGTTCTGCTTCATGCAAGTCTTTGAAGACACGCGACACGAAGTCGATACCTGATATGGGTCCTTCGAGTTCAGAGAAAGGGCAAACGAAGACCGTGCAAAAATATCTACATCTAAGAGGTCCATCGAACATGAAGTCCATGCGAGCTTCACTCGCATTCGTTGCGAGAGGTTGTGGGGTTCGGCTTGTGCTCATGGATCCAACATTGGGCTCCTGTTTCTATCCAACCTCAAGTGTTCGGTGCGAGGAACAGAAAGACCCTCTCCCCCCGGGTGAATTGGCACCAGGATTCGGGGAAACTTACAGCTCTTTCAATGAACAGGCACCCCATGAATGCCACTCGGACCCTAGCCTCTGCAGATGCATCGCCCAACGCGGTTGGCCCAAGATAACTGTAGAGCTGCCTATCATGGAACGTGCCGGCATTACAGGCCAGGTCGGGCATGGCAATGAAGTGCAATGAGTTCTGCTTGGTTACCCGCTCCTTATCGTCCAGGCTCCATGTGATGGCAGGTGTGGAGCTGGGAACCTGGACCTCCGTGCGTAGTCCCAAGATGTTCGCCTTTGTCAATCATGCTTCAAGGCTTCCGGATATCGATGATAAGAAGGTGCTCTCTGCCCGGCACTGATGAAAGCAAGGAGGGTGCTGCGTGTGGACGCCAGGCAGGAAGCCTCTACTCCAAGACTGACTTGCTCAAGGCGTGCTGCCCAAAACCTGCCAAGCACCTGGCCCTAATGTAGTGACGGGTGTTTGGAGACAGGCTGCTAATGAGTTCTTCAATGATGCGCGCCGAACTGAGGTGGTTTGAGAGGTTATGACAGATTCTGAAAGGTTGCGCAGGCTCCACACCAAGCGTGACTTTGCCAACTAAGTATGTATGTTCTGCTGTATTGCTGTTTGACTGCTTGTCTTATCTTGTCTTTCGGTCTGCTTGTGTGCTTGCTCGCTTTTTTTGTGTAAGTCAGTGCGTGTGCAGGTTGGCATCTTTGTTTGCACACATGCGAGCCGGCAAACGCCGAAGATTTTGGGATGTTTTCCTGGTGACACAGCAACAAACTATTTCTTACCACTGGCATTTTGATATTGACTGAGCATGTAAAAATTTTTTTCACTCTCCCAGCTAACTGAATGACAAGCTTCGTGCCCCCGCCGCCGCCACCGGCCAAGTATCTCTGAGCTGGGAGTGCGCCAGCCCCTTTTCCGGGTGTGACCTGATGTGAAGCAGCACTAGATGGGCACACGAAAGGCAGCGGCCCTGGTCATAGAGCCTCACAAGCAATAGTGCGCGCATGCTGGACGCTATCAGGGGTCCAGGGCTTGTTTTTTTCTTATGTTCTGCGTAGGATAGTCAAGTGAGCGATTCTTTACAAGTGCTGTGCTACTGCTCTTGCTGCCGTTGCTGCTGGTTGTTCAGCGTCCTTTCTTCTCTGAATGCTTATCGGTTTATTGAGGGATAGTTCAAGCGCTTGCTGAGGCTTCCACGCATGGGGTTCCAAGAGGCGTCGGTTTTCTCTCGCATAGAACTCCAAGTTTGGCAGATTCCGTATTTCGCGCATTTTGTGCAAGTTTCCCCCGTGCAGGACCATTTTTGGACGAACATCCGGATAATGCTGTGCATTGCTTGCTGCTCCTTCGGGTGCTACGCGCAGTTTGTTCTGAAATTTCCAAAGGACTGCTTGTGTTCGCGAAGAGCGCATCGGTTTTCAACCACCAGCCCATGCAGAGCCTGTTTTGGAGGACCGCTTCATGATCGGTGTTTGTGTTGCTGGCTACTTTTTCTTCACTGGCCTGGTGACCCTGATTGACATGCTTGCCGGCGCCTCATAGAATGCAGGGATAATGCAGTAATGAACCCCGAAGTTGGGCCCTGCTTCAGGTCATCAAGACCTCAGTTATTTGCATCAAAGCCGACTACTCAGATGGGGATACATATTGTTGTTCGCGTGATCTTCTCTGAGATCGATGTGCTTTGCCTAGAAAATCCCACAGAGGTCAGTGGGCAAACCGTCTTTGTCGATGTGACCATGCAGCCCTTCTCGCATGAGATGACAATTGGTTTGAGGCCCAGGCCCTAAATTCGGAACCCTGCAGCATAGCTTAAAACCATTTTAAAACCATAAGCCCCAAAACTTTCAACCTTAAGCTGTAAGACCCTGAAGATTGAATGTTTTGGCCGGTTCGGGGCAGGCTGAAGTGGAGCCTTTTGACTGCGGGGTGTCGGGTGGTATGGTGTCAGACGGGGCTGCATAGCTGCTGACCGTAGAACATTCAATCGGAGAGGCACATGTAAATGTTTGGAGGGAGATCTGGAGGACTTGGCAAGGCTCTCAATTGCTGAATCCTTGTATGCCTCTGCAGGAATCACGTTGGCTTGTTGCTTGGATGCAGGGATGCATTCTCTTACAGAACTGTTCTCGACGTGAGTTGGATGAATCGCTTGGTGGTGTGAGGAAGAAAGACACGCCCATCTCTCACAAGGCCACTGATTCTGGTTACACGGAACGTAGTGCACTCCGGGGTCATTCTCGTGTTCTTTTGGACTCGCCGCCACGTATGCACCGGCAACTGCGCTGTGGTTTTAGACTCTGCGCGCAGACTTCGGTCGGAGAATACTTCGACAGCGACGGCTACTTGGGACAAGAGGAGATTCTGGCAGCCTTTATGAAGCTCGTTCGGCTCCCGGAACAGGCTTCCTTCTCTACCGCCTTCTTTGGAGTGCTGCTTGCACACACTAGCAGCACTAGCATTCGTGCATTGTTGCACTGTTTCGCAAGGCGAGCTTGCTGTTCTTCGGATTCCAGTAGGTTTAGTGGTTCTGTTCCGTTTGTTCCGCTCCAGCTGCTGCTGTTGCTGTTGTCTGCTCCAGAGAGGGGTCATCTTGTGTTCAATGTGCTTTTATGTCTCGACGCATGCTGAGGTCAAGCGCTTTGAAAAAGAGCATGATGGCAAAGAGGCATCTTGCGCCGCTCCGTGTCATGAAGCTTCTTGAGTCTTGAGTCTTGAGTCTTGATGGCAGCACTGTCAAACTTCAAGATTTGAGCTGACGGCTACAGCTGTAGCGAATCGGCCGCGATAGTCGTGTCATGTGGAGCTTAGCACTTCACCATTTCGTCTCGCCTGAGTCTCAGAATTCCCACGGCTTTCTACGAGGGGCAGTTCTGGCAGCGAGAGGTGCACTGAACGTGCATGGCCGAGGCCGCTGGCCTGACGTGGGCCGGTGGTCTTAGGCACCTTGGTGCCTCTGTGGTACGCTGAGCTGATGCTCCTTGAAGCGCTTTGAGGTTGGCTTCACGGCGCCCACCAGCTCTGACCCACATCAAATCCTCGGCCATCGCCTTGGTGATGCTTCCATGTATGAGGGTGCATCAGGAGAGTTCTGTGTGAGCTTTGGTGAGTGTATATGTGTATATGGATATGTATATGTATATGTATATATATATAGATATATGTGTATAATACGGTGCTGTGTCGCTGCCACCCCCCGTCCCACAAGTTCCTCCTTTGGTGCGTGGGGTGGGCGGTTCAAATCTAGGGTTTCAGGTTTAGGGGTTTAGGGTTTAGGGGTTGAGGTTTTTGAGGTTTTTGAGGTTTTAGGATTTTTCAGGTTTAGGGTTTAGGTTTCTCAAGGTTTTGTGGTTTTTGAGGGTCTTACAGGGTTGTTTGGGGTTGGAGGTTTAGGGTGTAAGGGTTTTACGGCCTAGGCTCACCCCCCTGACCACCACCCCCACCCCCCCACCCACTCCCGCCCCCGCCCGAGGTTGGTTTACGGTTTTTGGATTGAAGGTTTTCGGGTTAGGGCTTCGTGGGTTGTGTCGTTTAAGGGTTTTAAGGGTTTGTTGTTCAGGGTTGCAGGTTACAAGGTACAGGGCTTTCGTGAGGGCTTTGGGTTCAGGGGGATGGGGAGCAGCGACGCTGTGCGATGCATGGGGTGTCCTTCTGTTTGTGATCCATACGCATTTCTTGGAAGGCTTTGCTGATGCGTCCAAATGATTTGGGTCTAGGTGTTCCTCGTGGAGCATGCCAAGCAGACATCCGAAAAGCCTACTTGCAGAAGGACCATGATGCATGATGGGCCCCCAGAGTCCACAGCTGTCGGAGATACTCCACTGCCGAAGGCTAAGCAGTTGCACCCCGACACAAGCCAGCACCTCGTGGATTCTGGGCTCGTGCTGACACATGTTTGCACATGTTCACCGCAGGTCAGTCACCGGATTCACACTTGGCATTTCAGCAGCTGCAGGCTGCATACAAGGTGGATTGGCATAAAGCTGCAGTGACATATAGTGACATCACCAATCGAATGAGTGCTGATAGCAGGCACTATCCGGTGACTCAAGTGGGTGGACGGAACCAAAGACAGCAAGTGCGTCAGCAGTCTGCTTCTGTCCACTTTCTTTCTCTTTCACTTTCACTGAGGCCAGGCCAACAACTGAAGGTCCTTTCGACAACTTCCACGCCAGGTGCTGGCAGCCCATTGCAACTAGTGAGGTCGAAGAAAGCACTCAACAGTTGCAGGCATGGTTTCCCGGGTGCTTCGGGGCCATACTACACGTGACCTGGCATGACTCATCAGAACTCCGTACAACCACAATGCAACCTGCTTCTTTCACTTTTCAAGGCAAAAGTCGCGTGCGTCGACCCCTCCGCCGAAGTCAACGCCAGACACTGTCGTTCCCAGTTTGAGCCACATTGGGACCTGACTCGGCTTTAGGTGGCAACTTCTGCGTGAAAGTCGAGCCTGGGTCTGAGAGCTGCAAAGAGCTGCAAAGGCAGAGAGTGGCAGACTGTAGAGGGTCCTCGGTGTTCTGGCCACGGGCCCTGCGCCTGGATCCGTGTGTGGGTCCAAGGCTTGGAGGCGGGGTGGGTTGGTGCACCGCAGCTTGGCGCGGTTCACGGTGAACTTCCTTGGCTGCTGGCCGCCGGAGCCTGAGCTGCCTTAAGGCACGAATCTGCCAAGCACCCATGTTGCACTATGTCTATGTTACAATTTCACCACGTCCTGAGTGCGTCCAGCGCAATCCCTCCATGCACCCCCTCAAACCCCTGATCCCTCAATTGCCATTCCCGCTGGGGTTGTGTGACTGGGAGGCTCTGGTTGCTCTGCAGCGCAGCCTTCTTGGCATCCCGCAGCAGGCACCCATGTCTCTCCATGGCTACAGCTATCCGGCCTTGGTCCTTCACACGCTGAGCAGCTTTGGCTTGATAGGTCTTCTTTGGGCTTGTTACACTACGACCATGACGGCTCATGCTTCAGATACCTTGCGTCATGATGCCATGGTACGTGTTATCCCGTTGCCGAGGTCAGGCGTACGTTAGAAGTGGAGGCAAGGGCCGCACAGTGTGCCTGGTTTCATCTGTCTGTGAGGCGTGTACATGCAGACATATATGGAGACTTGGGCCGAGTACTGGCAGGCAACTTCCGACGAGTTCCCCAGTACGACGACATTCCTGATTGAGCCTGCATTTCAGTCCCAGGCTTGCCTTGTCCAAGTCGTTTTCTAAAAAGTGCAAGCGCAAGCGGTAGTTTGTGATGCCAGGTGCTTACATCACCGAGATGCGTTCTTTGACCGGGATTGTTTGCACATCATCATGCGCATGTTGCATTCGCCAGCTACATGTTTGAGCTCTCGCATGTCTACTCTGGCGGAAGGCTCCCTCAGCCGCCATGCCTGCACTCCCTTGTCCTTTGTCCTGGGAACTTGCGGGCAAGAAGCCCTGGATTCCATGCAAAGGTTGCAAAGGTGGTAGCCAGGTCTTTTCATCGAGTATCTGAAGACCTCTCACCCCATGTACATAGACATCGCCAGTGCCTTTCGCTGCGAGTGCTGGAAATGCTTCTGAAATACTGCCAGCTGCAACGATGTGTCTGTCTGTGTGTCTCTGTGTGTGTGTGTGTGCATGCAATCTTGCAGAACATGGCAGAACATACTCAAATCCAAGTTTCCCCACAAGTCTTCGTCGCAGGTTGAGAGGAAGAAGGACAAGTGAGGTCGGAGCTTTGTCTTCGACTGAGGGCACCTCGACATCCGGACCTCAGCTCAGCCTGAATCACAGGCAACCGGGAGAGTTGGGTCAGATGTACACGACGAACTCCGCCCCCCCGGAGCACGATGCTCCACTCGAGAGTCTAGAAAGATAATTGGAGGGCTTTGTACAGTCGAATGTCCCAGCCGATGTCCTTGTTCGGAACCGTCCCGCAGGGAAGTAGGATGCACTGGTCTCGACGGGAGCAGATTGTTGAGACCGGCAAAAGATGCTTTGGAATGGATTTACTCGCAGCTAGGTGTTGGATGCTTCGCTATGCTTTCTCTGGTTGAGGGGGGTGGGTAGTTCGCATTCGGGTGTTTAAGGGGCTAAGCGTCGCCTGTGCAGTTGACGATGGATATTGCAGAGTGTGGATGTTGGATGCTGTCCGCAGATATCATTTTGGCCCATGCAAACAGAGGTATTCTCTCTTTAGGAAACCTCTGCCGCATATGTTTGAAAATTGCCCTAGAAGCATTTCAAAAAGTTGCAGGGGTCAAGGCACACTGAATCCCGCCACAGCAAACATCGCATGGACGCAGCTTGAAGGCAATCAGACATGCAGATTGCTGGGAGGATTGGATGGGAGAATAAAAGCGAGTCGCGCAGCTCAGGTACTGATCTGGTGGACGGTCGAAGGCTCAAAGATTTTGAGTGCATTGGAGTATGTCTTGGTGGACATGAGATGGTATGAGGTTCCTGCTCCGAAGCCACAACCGTGGGATGCTGAGGCGGACTCCATCAGACTTTGGGACCCTTTTCCGGTTCCCCCCATGTTCCCCCATGTTCCCCATGTTCAGGTTATCGACTCGGAGGAGCGTGAGCTTTTGCGAGAGCGGCTGCAGTCTCTTGGATTACAATTGCTCAATATGCTCAGAGCAGCCTTCGAAGAACGATGTCCCGGGTTCTGAGGCAAGCTGGAACTGGTCTGCAGGTAAGCCTGGGAAAGGACTCGCAACATGTGAGCCGTCAGATCATGGTGGCTTCCTAAAATTCGTTTGGCTTGCCTGTGAGGATGTCTTGGGTGTTGCAGGATGCGTCTGCTTAAGCTCCGGGCTGTGCTTCTGCCGTTTACGCAATCGGGCAGAGCGTGGCCCTGCGTCCTGGAATCAAAGGCCATGGTTCGGACATGTTCCGCGGGCTTTGCCAATTGGAAGGCATCGTTGAGGGCAAGGCCGGCCAATGCGAACGGCCTTTGCGCCGTTGGTCCTCCGCTTGCGGTGCAGGACTATGTAGACCTGCGGGCGAATGAGGCTGCGGACCACATCGTGGCAACGCAGGCGTGTGCAAAAACGTCAAACCTGGAAGAAGGAAATGAGGCAAAAGAGAGCTGCACAGACATGCACAGCCTTGCAGGACTTGTTTGTCGCGCTGCTGTGTCGGGCCTGGGCTCGACAAGCAGCTATCTCGAAAGTCCGGTGCCCATCTCAGCTTGTGCTTGGTCAAGTTATACTTCTATGAAGTGACACGATGTGTTACGCTATTTTGTTTGCAGTTGCCTCTCTTGGACCAGGCCGCTGCTGCGGGACGGACGGCCCCCAAGTGCATGATGCGGCATGCGACATAAGCTACGAAGAGTGATGCATGGGTTGGCTGTGGCTTCAGGCGCCTTGTGCCCCTTTGCCGAGAAAGCGCCGCTCAAACTTAGCCTGCTCCTTGAGTTTGCGAAAAGCCGTGAACAAAGTCCTCATCAATAGGCTCCCTTTACTCAGGTTCTGATGCAGACATAGCAAAGCACTATTACGAGCTGTTGCTCGGGCGTGGAACCAAGGCACATGCAGCCTTCCCCAACTACCACCTTTTCTTCTCGTTTCTCAGCACAAAACGCTATCTATCAGGACGAGTGTCCGCTTGCAGAGAAGTACTTGCAAGGGGTTGCGAGGGATATGCCTTTGAGCCGGGACCCTCAGCACTGCATTGGTTTTGGTTTGTGGCAGCTGGCCGCAGCTTTGTTGCCCTGAGTTGGCTCCCGAGGTGAGCAGCCCTACTTCAAGTCTGTCCTTGCGGTGCGCAGCTCTCGAGATTCTTCACCCAGCGTGGGCCAATATGTGTAGACCTTTTCCAAGGGTCGCTGTGATCCTAACGACTCGGTTCTGAGCATCTTAAAGATGTCGGAGCCTTGTCTTCAGCTGCATCTGGATGTGGGAGGGCTGGGTGGCCGTCGTGGCTCTCGGTATTTCTACCGCTTCCGAGTGTAGCAACGAGGTTGGATGTACCAGATGCGCTGGTTCCCCTGGACGTGAGAGAGGAAGCCTGCATCTGCAACGAGTTCTTGCAACCGAGATGTTGCCTGAAAGCAGCCCTGCGAGGACTTAGCACTAGGAGTCACCTTCAAGGCCCGGGAGCATTGTGTCAGCACTCTCGCAATGTCACGCTGTCACATTGGGTCGCACGCCTTAGGTGCTTGAGCTGATAGAGGTGACTGGCCTCGATCTTTAAATACTTTGTGCGCGCATGGCATCCAAAGATGCTGGAGCTTGGTGCTGTGGGCGCGATGGAGCTTTGCTACGTCACCTGCGCGAGTTCATGGGTGCAGCTTGCATCTTCAGCAAGCAGAACTTGGCCTTTCCAGACGATTGTTCGCACCATCGGCCGAGAAAGACGATGTTGTCAGTTGTGGGCTTGGAGTTTGTCCATAGACATGTGAAGGCTTGTCTGACGGTTTGCCGCCAGCCTTCTGCTTTCGTGTCTTGAAAGGCTTTCACTTTGCTGCTTCAGTTTGGCTGTGCTTCTTTAAACCTGCACCCCTCCAAATCACGCTATGTCTAGGTACGAAAATCCTTTCTTCAGCAGGAAACGTCTCTCATTTGGCGGTTCAGCAAACTATGTAGTTCCACCACACGTTCCCTTGAACATCGGCCTGTTGTGGATCACAGGCGTAAAGGCTGGGGTCTGTGTTTGCCTCCGCAGAACATCATGTATATCTACATCATATATATATATATATATATATATCTACCTGACGTGTCATGGCCCATGTTCTGACTCTCGTCAGCCCTGTCCTGAACCGAACAGTCTTTGAGATCCCGAAGTTGCTGTATTTTGCAATACATATCTGCTGTGAGTTTGGAGGTCTGCAAACCAGGTCCGTCGGCTTTGTACTCTTGTATCCGCACTGCCCTCCCCTCAGCAACCCTGCCGCCCTGCCCACGCAGCCACTCGTGTGTCAACAGCGCATCTCCCAGAAGAGCCATGGCCACGGTGACGACCGCCGTGCAGTGGATCCACACTGTTACCGGGGTCCTGTTTATCCTCCTCTTGGCCTGGAGGTTGTACTTCGAGAGGCTTGGTAGAAATTAGGTCACTGTGGGCTTGTAAAATGGATGACATGGTCATCTCCTGAACACCAAGGCCAAATGTCCAGTGGCAAGTTCCGAACATAGTGGTCGGAATCCTTGTGGCCTCCAGGCAAGACGCGCAACTGTGAAGAGTGTAACGGTCCTGTTGATGCCGAAAGCCTGGTTTCCTGTTTGTGTGGCAGGCGGCTGCCGCTTTTTCTTGCCGGGGCGTTGCTTGTGTGGGCGGCAGTTTTTGATGCTTGCCTTCGATGTTTCAGAGAGTTCCTTGCTTCGTGCACCTTCGTGTTGCTTCTTGCTGCCTCTGGGCGCCAACAAACCCTGACACAGTGACATCCGCGAGGCTGCGGGAGTCCCCCGGGATGGCCACGACTTGATCAACTTCGCGTGGAATTCCTGCGGTCACGCTGCTTTCTTCTCTGGCCTGCTAGGTGAGTGTCGTATGTGCTCTCCTTGAGGGCAGACTTTTACAAGTATGTGACTGTGCAGGCTGTCTCGTGGCCGCCTTGAGCTCCAGAGTGGGAAGGGTACTTTTGGTGGCTTTGCTGGCCTGGCTCGCTCACGTTGCCTGGCATATCTGGGCTTCGTTGTGGCAGACATGCTACGAGCTGGGTTGGTGGCAAGGTGCTTTCGCCCTTCTATCCAGTCATCGTCGCCCAGGACTGATCCACAGCTGACCTCAAAAGACAGCTGAACCGAGCTCAGCTCTCCCCAAACTGAGAGGAGTCCTTGCCGCGCTTTCGTCCGGAAGCCGCTGTTGCAGAGACCCCAAAGCTACGTTTACAGCTTTGCAACGATGGCTCCCAGGAGGTGCTCTCTGAAGCAAAACCCCCCCCCCATCCCCCTCCCCCCTTATCCTCCCTCCCCCCCGTGAGATGTGTGGCTGCCTCCTGCAACAGAAAGAGACTCCTTGAACTCTCTCCATGTTTTGATGCGATTTTTTTGAGTTGGCCTGTTTGATATCTTCTTCTCCTCGATTCTTGTCAGGCCGAGAATCGACGACAACAGATTGGGATTCTTTGCAGTCCCATGGTGCCCCTGCCTTGGGAGGACCTCCCCAGCTACTTCCCCACCAGCTTTATGTTCAAGCATTGCTCTGCCTTGCTCTGCCTTGCTCTTGCTCTTCATTGCTCTGCGACAGTCAAGTTGGAAATGTTCCGGTGGCAATTTGCAGGAAGCGGAAAGCCGTGCTGCTTTGACCTTGGCGAAAATGACTCAACGAGAGCGCCATAGCTTGATGCAGGCGCCCCTCAGAGCCCTTTCAAGAGTCTCGCTTGGGAGGTCCTTAGGCCCGAGTTCGCTTTGCATGACGCACGGCTGAGGGAGTTGGCTGGGTGCCAATGCCTTATGGTTTGCCAGCGCCTCTCCCGGCAATTCCAGTACGTGGCAGCCTTGGCTTCGACCTCTCACGATCTTTTCCATGTCTCGCATATGCGCAGGGGATTTTTCGTTGTTCTCGCTCTGAGTTGGCCACTACATGGGCAACCTTCCTCCCATCCCTCGGCTGGGGGTGCCTCCGCTGAAGCTCCACGATGCCGGAAATGGTTTCCGGAACATGCCCGGGGGGCAAGGCAAAGCGGGAAGCACGGCCTCTTGCCCGCAAGTGGGCAATCTATCGATTGGGCTTGGCGCAAGCCATCAGTTGCAAAGTGACAGGGTTTCGGGTCGCTCGAGGTCATGTGGCCCTGCTCGTTGGCCTTGGGTGCCTCCTGGGATGTGAAGCTGGTGGAAGAGGTGCCGCATTTGTACCAATGTGGTTTCATGAACAGCTCGGTACCTTCGAATGTTCCATGGGCATGAACAGGGGAGTTTCGTTCCAGGTTGCTGCTGAGATTGGTCGAGAGTATCGTGGCAAGGGCTCCAACCTCATCCTGGGCCCGAGCGTTCAGGCGCCCCGGAATGCCGGGCTCATTTGCGTAGTTTGTCTGTTAGCAGTAAGCCACTGAGAACAGCATCGCAGGTTCAACGAGTGGCCCGCAACGGCTTGCATCCCAATCTGCGCTCTCCGAGCCATTGTTGAGAGGACGCCACCCGACCGAGGTCGAAACTTCGAGTACATGTCGGGCGAGTTGGCTGCAGTTGCACACAGTCACGGAGAGTCTCTCATGAAGAGCCTGAGACTCAGCCTGTCTTGTGCTTGGCTGAGGAGAGGATCCTTACTTGGGCGCAAAGTTGTCGGCAGCTTATGTGACAGGGGTGCAGGCGCCGAGCTCCAAACGACACAGAGAAACTGGTCACAGTGTGACATGCTGATATGCACTAATAATCACTAATAGCACGTGTGTTGCAGGGACAGGGGGTCATGGCCTGCCTCAAGCACTTTGCCTTCAACGAGCAGGAGACAAACCGGATGTTTGAAAGCTCCGTGGTTGATGAGCGGACGGCTTGGGAGCTCTACTACCCGCCATTTGAGGCTGGCATAGCTGCGGGCGCAGGCTCCGTAATGTGCTCGTACAACCGCGTGAATGGGACCTATGCCTGCGCAAACGAAGAGCTGCTGACGCGTGATTTGAAGCAGAAGATGGGCTTCAAAGGCTTCGTGATGACAGACTGGTGGGCACTCCACGACCCAGCCGAAGCCTCGGTGGTGAGGGGCCTAGACGTGGAGATGCCTGGGGCAGGGGGCGAGACCTTCTTGTTCCCGGACAAGCTCGAGGCCATGGAGGAGCGCCTTGACGGAGTCTTCAAGGGGTACGCGAACCTAGAAAAGCCGGACCTCTACAAGGAACCGGCTCGGCGAATCCTGGCCGCTGCTCACAAGATGCGCTTTTTCGACATGCCAGCATGCACTCCAGGCCTAGACTGTACTGAGCCCATCTATTCCGACCAACGAAGCTCCGTGAACTTGGCTTTGGCACGCAGGTCAGTGCAAGAGTCCATCGTGCTGCTGCGAAACAGAGGCTCCCTCCTCCCACTTCTGAACGTGAAGCGGCTGGCATTGATTGGGGATGCATGGGTCGCTCCCAGCAGGAGCACGGAGGAGCTGGGTATGTTTGGTGACTACTACAGCGGTGGGGGATCTGGACATTGTTACATACCACCTGATCGCTTCAAAACCCCCCACATGACCATCACAGCTTACGCAGAGGCCCATGACATCTACACGACCAGCTCTCTAAGCAACAATGCCACAGAGGCGCTGTCCGTGGTATGGGAGGCAGACATCATTGTTGTCCTTGTTGCTACGACCGCTGAAGAAAGTCGGGATCGTGAATCCCTGCACTTGGACAATGAAGCGGATGCCTTGATCAGTGCTTTGTCACAGGTGGGAAAGCCTGTCGTCGTGCTGGTGCAAGCTCCTGGAACTGTGGTCCTACCATGGCGAGACGCTGTGGATTCAATCGCCCTCATGTTCCTGGGTGGAGAGTTCACTGGGGCCGGCTGGACAAAGCTGTTGTTCGGAGAAGTTTCTCCATCTGGAAAGCTGCCAATTATGCTCCCCAAGCACGAAGACTACACAGTCCATCCTGGGCAGGAGCCTGATGTGATGTATAGTGAGGGCCTTTTCACATCTTACCGGGCTCCGTCTGCACCTGAAACGGCGGCTTATCCTTTTGGGCATGGCTTGTCTTACACGGACTTTGAGATTGCTGCTCCCCAGGCCTACGAATGCAGTGCGATTCTTTGCATATCGACGACGGTGACAAACATTGGCGCCAGATATCCTGGTTCCGAGGTTGTCCAGGCATATGCGGAGCCACTTGGAAGCGCCCCCCACATTCGCTTTCCTGGTGTAGGGTTCGTAGTTGTAGAGGCCCCCTGCTTGACAACGCCCCCCCCCTTCCGTTGGTGTTTTGAGTACATCTCCGGTAAGGTTCCCGGCGGAGTCTCAGGAGCCGAGGCTTCTGCTGAAGGGCTTTCACAAGACGGCCGTTTTAAAGCCCGGGGAGTCTGAGAACGTCCAGCTCAGCTTCACAAGGAGGGATTTCTCGGTCTACTCCTCCGGAAACTGGGTCCTCCAGCCCAGTGTTCGGATCCATCTCGGTGCCTCCAGTGCCGACCTCAGGCACTCCCTCGAGGTGCCCATCGAGACCTAAACGGGTGGCCCCATGTTTTCCGCGCCACGATCTGCGCCGATGTCTCCGACCACTTCCAGGATTACCCCGAGGCCCAGCAAGAGCGGCCAAGCTGCCAGGTGTTGCAAGTCAAGACGAGCGAGAAGGCGGGATGACCTTGGACCACTTTCAGTGCCACAGCAGCGCAGCGGCGAAAAGAGGGCTTCCCTTCAGCTCCGAACCCGACACATCCCGAGACTCTTCTGCCACAACCCTCCTCCTGGATTTCGAGCGTTAGGCTGCAGCCTGTGCCACTGACAGGCCTGTGGAGTCAGCTTGTTCTGATGCTGTTGACTGCTTGACATGGCGTGATCTTCGTGAATCAGAGCCGAGTGAAGATAGTGGTAGGAAGCTTTTTAGGAATGTTGCCTCGAGCTTGCCTATGTTTGACATGCGACCGGTAGCACAGCGACCCCAGATGTGCTTGCAAACACCAGTACAAAAACGCCTGCAAAGGCTTCAAAAAAACCGCAAGTGGCAAAGGCGGCAAGCGATTTGACACTCTTGAGACCTTTTCTGTGCGCCTTTTCTGTCCGCCTTTGCTGTGCGCCTTTGCTGTGCGCCTTTGCTGTGCGCCTTTGCTGGGCGCCTTTGCTGGGCGCCTTTGCTGGGCGCCATGCCGTTCGACAGGCCAAGGCGGGAGAGTCCGGGCACTTGGATTGGCCCCCTTGCTCTGCTGCATCGGTTCTGTGTAGATACAATGTACTCACAACTGTGTCCCACTTTGAATGTAACGTTACGTAGCATGTTCGCATTAGTGGCATCTGTTGATGGTGCAAGTCAAGTTAGGCGGCGGGTGCAATTCCGAGACCTTGTTTCGGAAGACGTTGAGGAGCGGCGCGCTCCCCATTGCCAAGAGGCAATGCCTGGAGGAGACCATTGCAGGGAAGGATGCCGAGGGTTTGGGGATAGTGCTCACGTGTGTTCATTGCACGTGACCTTGATCAGATACGTGTGCACACAGGCAGGAGCCCAAGGAACGTTGCTTTTGGACAAGTTTGGGTCACTGGTTGAGGAGACGAGGACGAAATCGAGAAGCCAATGCCTGGCTGATGTGGAGCAGGCCTTGCACAACGGCTTCGTTTTTTTTGGCAACTGCCAGCTTCAAAGTCAAGGCAAGGCCGTTGGGATATGTATGGATATGCACCCTGCAGGCGGTGGACCAGCTGGATGTCTCGGACACTGGCCGTGAAATGTGCAGGGCTTAGGATTAAGGCTTAGATGCAAGGGACTGCAAGACTCTGCACGTATCTGATGAAAGTGCGTGCAAGGCTCACATGGGCCGTAGCAGCTCTGCACGCTTGCAGGCTTCGTCTCCTCATCAAGGGTAGCTACGGCTGCCCTGTCGAGGTGGGAGGGGTTGAAAGTTCCGCTTGCGAGGAACTTTGCGCAATGGACATGCAAGGAGAGACATCGATACCAAGATGCAGCAGCACGGCTTGTTCGGGAGGAGGGAGATCTTTTGCTGTGTTGTTTCTTGTTGTTTGCTTTTTGCTTCGTCTTTGAATGCTTCTATGGACGAATGCAGGCCTTTCAGGACGGGGAGGAGGGCCTTCAAGCTCGCCGCAAGGGGGTTGCTGACAAGGTGACGTGCATTCGAATGCAGCTTTAAGCACGGGACCGGCATGAGCCAATTTGTTTATCAGCATAAGAGCCATACGAGCAAAGCTACGGCGTTGCTGCGCAGAGGCGGACAAGTGCAAGAGCGATCTGGAGGCTCCAAGTGGCACTTTTTCACTTCAAGCAAGCTACAAGGCAGGTACAAGGCTCCAGCATCTTCAGGAGAGGGCTGCAAAGCTGAGAAGTTCCAGGGAGGACATCCGCGACATTCACAAGCTTTTCTGTTGCCTAGCCCAGCGCACACAAAAAGGACTTCACTGCAGCGATCTCCGTCTTCCGCAAAGCAAAGGTGCGGACATTACAACAGAAGCCACCCTGACTTCCAGAGTAGCCTGTCTGATCACCGTCAGGAAGCCTTCCTAGCAGACAACCGAATCCTGCAGCAACGGCGCGTGGCTTTGGACCAGTCCACGCAGGACCCTCTGGGATCAGTCTTTGGACTTTTGTGACATGTTTCTTGACATGTGTGTGGGTTGTTTGAAACTTGTTTGTGCATAAGGGCGTTAAGAGCTGCGAACATCTGCGAACGCTTGGGGAGGACCTGCAGCGATGCCAGGCCAAGCTCAAGGAGGCCTGAGACCGAAGCAACATGGAGAGCGAAACAGGAGAACCGCTCTCTGTTTCTGCCTGTTCTCTCCTTCTTTCGGTTCTTGTTGTAACTCAGGCGATTGGTTGCAGGGACCAACTTCAGCAGGCCCTCGCAACGCACGGGGGCCTAGCAAAAACCAGAGCAGTAGGCATCGTATATAGCAAAGCCCCCATGCGCGGCCTTGAGCCTGGCACGCACAAATGACTGAGGCTGCCAGCCATATTGCAGGGCACCGTGTGCAGCTCAGATAATCGAGAGAACAATCGAGAGAACTCAGCGAGAACTCATTGGGGGGGGGGGGGGGCGGGAGGCAAGTCGGAGGGGTCCTTATCCGTGCCCCAATGCGCAAACAGAGGTGCAGGACGAGTCAGTCAGTGCCTTGTTGGTCTGGACCCCAGAGGTTCTCTATGAGGCACTTCTTCAGTCCCCTGAAACCAGCCTCGCACCGTACGGGGAGAACAACAGACAGCAGTTTTGTCAGTTACATTCTTTGAGCAGGGCCAAGTCTCCTTGGAAGACTCTTTGAAGTCGGCGGCCCTGTCGTCCCTGAAGCTTCCGGCGGAGGACGGTCGAAGCGGGGTAGGTCCAACATTTCTTGCCACGATGGTTCTAACTTTCTAACGCGCCAGGATCGTGGGGCCTTTGACAAGGCAGTCCTTGAACAGCTACGCGGAGCCCTTGCCGGGCTGCTCGAGGTCGGCTCTTTCCTGCACTCCTAGCTGCAGTCGTCGTCGATTGCCGCTTGCAGGCCTGGCCAGCCACGGAGGCGGAGCAGCAGGCTGTCGAGGCTCAGGGGAGGTCTGACGCACGGATGAGACATGATCAGAAGGCTGCGTGATCCTGTGAGGATGCTCGAGCTGGCCAGGAGGCTGCTTCGGCCTCCTTTGTCCAGGTGCGGAATCCTAAGAGATGCCTGTAAGCTGTTGGCCGGCATGCGGGAGTCTCGGTTCAGCGGCTAGGCTCGGCTGGTGCAGACAAAGAGCGCTCACGCACTGCGCCTGGCAGAGCTGGAGCTCCGCTTTGCGCAAGGCTACACGGATTCCCAGCAGCAGTGGATGTGATGCAGCATACAACATGGTCCTTTGGGTCCGTCTGAGCCTCTTAGAGAGGTGCGGCAGGGGCTGCCCAAGAGTGTCTTCAAGACCAAGAGCAGGCTTGGAGATCTAGCAGAAAAAGTAGGGTTTGGATAAGATGGCCGTGTTGTGCGAGGAGCTCAAGCAGCTGGAGCAACATCTCAAGGCATGGGGGCTTTATGGGGGCATGGATGCACATGAATCTGACATGTTAGCGCAAATTGAACCATGCGAACCAGGCCGCCCAAGAAGGGCTTGACCAGTTCAGAGACGGTCCAGTAGCATCACTCAAGGCCGGGTCTTTGAGTCCGGAGGATCCCGTGTAAAGGATGGGGTGCTGGGCAAGGGACCATATTCTGCTCAATAGGCCCACACAAGCTTGAACACCATAACGCACCCCTCTCCCTTGCACCGACCCCTGAATGAATGAGCTGCGGCGAGAGGCCACACATATATCCGAAACCACTGTGCGCGCGGCGGTCTAAGCCAAATCCAAAGTCTACGTCTAAGTCTACTTTTCAAGTCTCAGTCTAAGTCTCAGTCTAAGTCTACGTCTGAGTCTAAGTCCAAGTCTAAGTCTAAGATGACTGAGTATAGGACCAAGTACCTTCTCATAATGCAGCATACCAGCACCACCATGCGCCGGACCCCAACCAGGCCGGTGTCCAAGCCCGAAAAGTTGCAAGACCTCCCCCTATGCTGTCCCTGGTGGGCGTTGGGTTTAAGGGTTTCCCCCCTTTCCTTGTCTTGTGGTTCATGGTCTCTGGTTCATGGTGGGAGTCGAGCTTAGGGGCTAGGCTGTCGTGACCGTGTGACAATCATGTTGGTTTCCTTGGAAACTGCCATCTCGAAGGTGCGGTGGTGTGAAGGATTCTGGTAATCTAGCTGCACTCTTAAAGAGACTGCGCCCTGCGTGGGGGCCAACACTTGATGATTGTGGCTTGTGTTGAGGGTGCTGGGAAGAGGCCATCTCGAAGGTACGGTGTGTTGAAAACGTGGCTCTTGAATACCACTGTGCCCTTATAACCGCCTCCGGGACAACTTCCAGGGGCTGGGGTAGCTTATGACTTGCGGGGCAACAAGCACGCCTGTAGCGTTTAGCGTTTTCATTATTTTACTCTCCATGGTTCATGATGGGTTAAGAGTTTAGGGTTGAGGGTTGAGGGTTGAGGTGTAGGTTGAGGGTTTCCCTGTGGTTAATGGTGTGTGATTCATGGTGGGTTTAGGGGTTAGGCTATAGTGTTTTGGGTTTTCATTGTACTCTCTGTGGTTCATGGTGGGTCTAGGGATTGAGGTTGAGACGAAGGTTTAGGGTTTCCTGTTCCTCGCCAACCTGTGGTTCATTGTCTGCGGTTCATGCAGGGTTTACGGGTTAGGCTGTAGTGTTCAGGGTTTTCACAGTGCTCCGTGGTTCATGGCGGGTTTAGAGTTTGGGGTTGAGGTGTATATTTACGGTTTCACCCCTGCCCCCCTGTGGTTCATGGTCTGTGGTTCATGGTGGGTTTGGAGTTTAGGGGTTAGGCTGTAGTGTTTAGGGTTTCACTGTACTCTCCGTCGTTCATGGCGGTTTAGAGTTCATGGTTTAGGGTTGAGGTGTAGGTTTAGTGTTGTATTATTGTTTCTTTTTGGTACATGGTCTGTGGTTCATGGTGGGTTTGGAGTTTAGGGGTCAGGCTGTAGTGTTTAGGGGTTTCACTGTACTCGGTTCATGGTCTGTGGTTCATGGTGGGTTTGTAGTGTTTAGGGTTTTCGCTGTACTCCCCGTGGTTCATGGCAGGTTTAGAGTTTAGGGTTTAGGGTTGAGGCGTAGGTTTAGGGTTTTGCCCTGCCCCCCTGTGGTTCATGGTGGGTTTTGGAGTTTAGGGGGTAGGCTGTAGTGTTTAGGGTTTTCACTGTACTCCCGTGGTTCATGGCAGTTTAGAGTTTAGGGTTTAGGGTTGAGGTGTGGTTTCGCCCCCCTGTGGTTCATGGTCTGTGGTTCATGGTGGATTTGGAGTTTAGGGGTTAGGCTGTAGTGTTTAGGGTTTTCACTGTACTCCCCATGGTTCATGGCAGGTTTAGAGTTTAGGGTTTAGGGTTGAGGTGTAGGTTTAGGGTTTTGCCCCTGCCCCCCTGTGGTTCATGGTCTGTGGTTCATGTGTTTAGGGTTTTCACTGTACTCCCCGTGGTTCATGGCAGGTTTAGAGTTTAGGGTTTAGCGTTGAGGTGTAGGTTTAGGGTTTCACCCCTGCCCCCCTGTGGTTCATGGACTGTGGTTCATAATGGGTTTGAAGCTTAGGGGTTAGGCTGTAGTGTTTAGGGTTTTCACTGTACTGCCCGTGGTTCATGGCAGGCTTAGAGTTTAGGGTTTAGGGTTTGAGGTGTAGTTTAGGGTTTCATGCCTGCCCCCCTGTGGTTCATGGTCTGTGGTTCATGGTGGGATTGGAGTTTAGGGGTTAGGCTGTAGTGTTTAGGGTTTTCACTGTACCCCCCGTGGTTCGTGGCAGGTTTAGAGTTTAGGGTTTAGGGTTGAGGTGTAGGTTTTGGGTTTTGCCCCCGCCCCCCTGTGGTTCATGGTCTGTGGTTCATGGTGGGTTTGGAGTTTAGGGATTAGGCTCACTGTACTCCTCGTGGATCATGGCAGGTTTAGAGTTTAGGGTTTAGGCTTGAGGTGTAGGTTTAGGGTTTTGCCCCTGCCCCCCTGTGGTTCATGGTCTGTGGTTCATGGTGGGTTTGGAGTTTAGGGGTTCGGCAGTAGTGTTTAGGTTTTTCGCTGTACTCCCAGTGGTTCATGGCAGGTTTGGAGTTTAGGTTTTAGGGTTGAGGTGTAACCCCTGCCTCTGTGTGGCTCATGGTCTGTGGTTCATGGTTGTTTTGGGGTTTTGGTGTTAGGCTGTAGTGTTTGGGGTTTTCACTGTGCTCTCCGTGGTTCATGGCAGGCTAAGAGTTTAGGGTTTAGGGTTGAGGTGTAGGTTTAGGGTTTCATGCCTGCCCCCCTGTGGTTCATGGTCTGTGGTTCATGGTGGGATTGGAGTTTAGGGGTTAGGCTGTAGTGTTTAGGGTTTTCACTGTACCCCCCGTGGTTCGTGGCAGGTTTAGAGTTTAGGGTTTAGGGTTGAGGTGTAGGTTTTGGGTTTTGCCCCCGCCCCCCTGTGGTTCATGGTCTGTGGTTCATGGTGGGTTTGGAGTTTAGGGATTAGGCTGCAGTGTTTAGAGTTTTCACTGTACTCCTCGTGGATCAGTTTAGAGTTTAGGGTTTAGGCTTGAGGTGTAGGTTTAGGGTTTTGCCCCTGCCCCCCTGTGGTTCATGGTCTGTGGTTCATGGTGGGTTTGAAGTTTAGGGGTTCGGCAGTAGTGTTTCGCTGTACTCCCAGTGGTTCATGGCAGGTTTGGAGTTTAGGTTTTAGGGTTGAGGTGTAACCCCTGCCCCCCCTGTGGCTCATGGTCTGTGGTTCATGGTTGTTTTGGGGCTTTGGTGTTAGGCTGTAGTGTTTGGGGTTTTCACTGTGCTCTCCCTCTCCGCGGGTCGTTCATGGTATGGTGGGTTTGGGGTTTAGGGGTTAGGCTGTAGTGTGTAGGGTTTTAATGGTACTCTCCGTGCTGCACGGTGGGTTTAGAGTTTCGGGTTTAGGGTTTGGCAATGCGGTTACGTTTAGGGTTTCCTCGCAAGGTCTGTGGTTCATGGAGGGTCGCGGTGTAGGTTTAAGGTTTACCTCCTCGCCCCCTTGTGGCTCGTGGCAGGTTTCGGTTCATTTTTTTTTTGGGTTGTGGGTCAAGGCGGTTGTGGTTTCGGGTTTCCCTCTTCCCATTTGTGGTTCATGGTGGGTTTAGTTTTTAGGGCTTAGGGCTTAGGGCTTAGGGTTCAGGGTTCAGGGTTAGGCTTAGGGTTTCTCTCTCCCCCCCCCGGTAGTTCGTAGTGGTTTGAAGGGAGTGTTGGGGGGGGGGGGGGGGGTACCATGAGGGGGGGATGCCGAGTGGGTCGAGAAAGCGGAGCGCGGGCGCATGTTATACATGTTGTGCTGTCTAGGGGTAAGGGACGCTTTGGGATTTCAGGTTGCCGTTCCATTTTTTTGCGCGATTTCTTCTTGCATGTTCGTCATGTTTAGGCTTCACTCTACTTGCCTCCACGTGTCCCTCGGACCACTCGAAGCGGTTGCCATCTGAAGCAGGTTCTGGAAGATCCCGAGGTCGCTGTGGAGCCATGGCTGCAGCTAAAGCGCCCGCAAATGTAGAGCTGTAGCTGTGATAAAGCTGTGCCTCCATGGGGATCGCGTCTTTGGGCAGCCTGAGGTGTTACTCAAAACCCCTACAAAGGGAAAGCAGGAGACGGCGCGGCTCTAGATGTGAGACTGGTTGGTTTCGTCTGTCCTACTGCAGGACAACCACGTGCATGACCCGACATCAGCAGGAGTCAGATTCTCAGTTGTGTTTCGTGCAAGAACGTGCACTCTCGTCTTGCCACAGAAGCGTTTGGATTTGATGGCAGGTGCCCACGCCAGTGCGGGCTGCTGCAGTACCGTAATTGAAATCACTTGTTTGCAGGCCACCAATCTTTTTAGGAAGCTCCAAGGAAAGCCTTTGATGTACAGTGACTGGCACTTCTTGACTTGTGGCTTCAGACGATCTCGGTGTGGTGGACACTGTCACTGTGCCCGGTCAAGCTCTCC